TGTTATGTCTGTAGCTATTAGGTAAATGTTGTCTGACCATGTTTAGTTCATTCTGCTCCATTTTTCCACTTACAATTTGCATAATAGATTCTGTTCTCTTACATTTGTTTCAAAAATACCATATTGGAGTGTAGAAACATAAATGTTCATATCCTGACTTACAGCCTAAGCAGCTGAGCACACTAAATAAAAAGCTTCTTTCACAGCAGCTATTTTGTGGATATTATGCAAGATGTTCTGTGCTTTGATATAACAGCTCCTAAAGAAAGTGTATTGCAACATGAATTTATAGCCAAACTTATGCACTTAGTCTGGTAAAACATGTTGGGGGTGGGGCAGAGAGCAAGCTGTTGTAAACTCCTATAAAGTACAGAAAACTTCTACATTCCCTCCTTTCTAACAAGTGTAAACTATTGAGGTTAAGTAGGTGGGGCAACCGGAAGTAATTACTAAGGCCAGTGGCATTTTTGCGGTTTAATAAAGGCAGAAGCTAATTATTCAGTTTTTATTTAAGTGAAATGATGCCAAAAAGGAGGTTCCTGCAGAGCAGCTGCACTCCTTCAGTGTTACCCTAATTTACCACAGACACAACTGTCACAAACAGAACTTTTAAACTTGATATATAGCCACGAAAGTAAGGAGCCCTTTGTCTGGAGTGCATGCAGAAGAACTCCTTTATACAAATCAACCGGCAGATGACGGACAATGATGAAAATTTGATTCTTTGAAGTCATAATGGTCATTGAAATGTGTGAAATTCTGGTATTGAAAAGAGAGCAGCTAGCAAGACTCTAAATCCTGGGTGGTTGCTGGAAGCTTGCTGGGAGGTTTTTCTGTGTTTTGACATCAACTTCCCATTGCTTGTTCCCTGTTTCCTTTATTAAAAAAAAAGGGTGGGGGGGTGCTAAACAGTAGATAGTTGATAGTGGTTATGTACATTTTTTGTCTATGCGTGGAGAGATATGTCACAGGGGAAACATGACACCTTTATGCACACCTGACCCATCTATTCAAAACCGCTTGTTTTCAGAGACACTTTCAATCATTTTGTCTCTTTTCCTTGAATTACAGTTCTATTTCTTGTCCCCTTTGGAATTCATGCTATTAGTAGAGTACTAAAAGCCATCTTCATGCCGAATACTGCCTTCATTGACACTGCCTCTGTGAACCAGTTTTTCTCCCCGCTGTATAGCACATTTATCATTTCTTATTACTTTTTCCAGAACAGCTTTATCCGGCTTTCCACTATGACAAGCATTCTTAAATAGCATAAATTATAATAAAGACAGAATCTGCTCTTAATTGGTAAGCAAGTTGACATGATTTCTGCTGTTTAAAACAAGTGGGTGTTTTGTCCCTCTCACCTTATTCCCAGGAGAGCCAAAATGCCTCAAAATTAGTATTTTTTTTTTTAATTACAAAAAAGTTCAGAGGTTGCTATTAAAACCCCCTTCTATATATATTAAGAAAAACAGAATGTCAGATTGCACCTTTTAGTTGATAATCTGTGTTAAAAATGTGAAGCTGGGTTGTTAATTTTTAGTAAAGCAAACCTATACAGTTCAAATCTCAAGTCTTTTATATTGTCACCTTATTATTTATAATTTTGAATGCTTAACACCTCACTAATATTTTAGTGTGCTAATATAGCAAAATTCAGTAAGGAACAGTATATATAAAAAAAAAAAAAGAAATAGTAATGTGAAGCCAGCTGTCAAAAACATCTTTGTTTTGGAAAGTTGGTTCACAGGTAGTTTCAATGAGAACTTGAACTCAGAACAAAGCACTGAAGACACAGTAAAGAGTTCAACCCAGTGCAGCGTAGTTCTTTTCAAGTATTATATTGTTTTAATGGCATCTTGGAGCGGGAGCTTTAGCCCATTGAAATGTCGCTTAAAGGACAGGTTCTTCTGTCACTAGCTGGAGCTGTGTGGATGAAATGATCACAATAGAGTGTTGTAATGCATTTTAAAAGTGTGAGAAATCAGTTTGTCTAGACTAAGAGTGCGCCTACAGGGAATAGGAATTTTAGAGCTTCTGTGCTCTTTAGGTGTCAAGTATGTGATAGATGCCAAGCCTTTTTATTCCATATCTTTGGCAACAGCTCAGCTATGCTACAGTACCTTACATGTCTACAGCAAGCAAAACCAGTGATTTTATGTCAGGACAACTTGGGCTCCAGAAACCAGAAACTCATTGTCCTAACAACTGTCTGTTCAATTGCCAGCTTTAAAATGGGGAAGATATCAATAAACAATTGCTAGTTTCCCAGAAGGCATGGAAACTTTAGCTATAATGAATCAAAGTATGAAGAACTAGCAACACCGTGTAAATATTTCAGTTTCGAAAAGTAGGCAAGTTTTAATTTTCACCTAGAAAATATTTTTATGAGATGAATCCTCTATTATTAGTGAAATAACTTTGATTTGGAGCCAACTGAATGCCAGAAAAAACATGGCTTGAAGGGTTTTATTATTTGTCTGGAATTTTGATTTTATTTTCATCCAGATGAAGGAGTCTAGGTGTTTCGTTACTACAGTTCCCTCTAAATATAGCATTTGCTGGGTTTTAATACTCTTTTTAGATTGTGTTCTGTATGCACTAATGTGTAGTATTTTTGTGATTCTCTGGTGTGGAGGCTTCAAAAATGAAAATTGTATATGTGCCTAATGTTATTTGACTTAGTATCTGATGTTAATAATTCCAGATAATTCTGGAACGCTTCAAAAGCCTTTAAATCTGAAGCATAAAATTCATAATGGACAACAAGTTGCTGAGAATGATTATAGTAAAGGAAAAAAGGTTCATAATTTTGAGTTATTTTGAAGCTTGCATCTTCAGAGGTATTTAATGATAAGGAACCCAGAATTCTTGCATGTAGCAGATTATTTCAGAGGGGAAAACATTTTTTGTGAATATTCTTACATTTTCTCAGTAGGCATGTTTGTTAAATACAGAAACAAAGCCTAATATATTAGTCTACTCCTATAAACAGACAAGCTGAAACATTGAAGCCCCACCAAACTGCAGGTAAAAAACCCTTTTTGTTAAACAAAGCACTTTGCCAATTCAAATAAGAAAACTCTAAGCTATTTCCTTCTAAAACTGTGGTTTAAGCTTCAGCAGTCAGAAATGCCAGTCTGTCAGGAGGTGTTTTAACATACGTGTTGCAACATTCCAGTGACTGGTAGTGTTTCAGTATCACTGCTAGACTCATATTAAAAATAAACATTAATTGGTCCTAATGAAAGCATTTATAATGGAATTGTTAAGATATTTTGACAGTTTCTTTTGGTAGTCTGTGCAGAAGTGTTAGAAGTTGGAAAATTAGGGGGTATGCTTGTTTGTTTCCCCTGCTGTTCTAATTACAAATACAAGTCAAATGCTTTAAACTTGCTCCCTTGTGTAGTTTTGAGGGACTGATCTCCCAAAAATTATTTTCAGAAGTAAAACAAAGAATGAGACTTGCCTCATTTCAAAGAATGATCTGGTGACAGCACCAAGAGCTTTTTAAGTTTGCCACAAAACGAAATCCCATAAAGTTTGTAGCTACAGACATGTAAAGCCACAGTGTTTTTTTAAAACTTGTTTGCCTTTCCATTCAAGTTGTGGCCATACTGGTGAGATCGGTTCAATATGCCCAGAGTTCTGCAGCACTTCTTTGGACTTGTACCAGTTTACTAGCTGTTCCTCGAGAGAGGAGGAGAGGGGAGGGCAGGCAGGGGGACCAAAGAGCTCCCACTGGCCTTTTAAGTATGTAAGGAACAGGAGTAGTTTAGCATCCTTAGAGATGGATTTGATATTTGATTTCACTCTTTACTAGGGTGAACTGACAAGTTAATTTTATGTAATTACTGTTTAGTTTTTAGTGAGAAGGTTCACTTTGATTATATCAGATGCTGCTGAGGTTAATTTTTGATAGCAATTCTTGTGAGGTTTTTCCCTATCTTATTCTTTGTTAAAGTCAGTTAATATTTTTAGGATGTTTTTGTGATCCTTCAGTTTTTATCTTTGTTAGGTTTATATTTTGAGGGCGCTCAAGCCAAGCCTTAGTAGAGGAGGATGTCCTGCTACTGACTATATACCATGTTACAAGCCTTTTTCTTTTTTTTTTTCCCTTGAAGATTGGAATCTCCTGAATTATTTTGTCCTTCACAAAAATACTGAAGAATGTTACCAGTATCAAATGTTCCTCTCTTGATCTTGAACATCAACAGAATAATTGACTCTCAAAAGCTGATATTCATAGCTCGAAACACCACAAGGCAGTCAATTTTATGTAATAACTAATGGTTAAAGAAATGAGAGCTGAATTCAAGGACCTGCTTTGCAGGCTCAAACAATCAATAGGTTATTGTGTGAAAAATAACCTCCTGCCTCTTCCTTCATGCTAACGAAGGCTTCTTGAGTCAGTGTGGAGGTTGTTGCCTCTTAATTGTATACAGACTTAAGCCCAAGTGAAAGCACACACACAGCAACACATAGTTGGTTGGCTAGGGTTTTGGTCAGTAGTCCTGTTCATGTGAAGTTTAGGCTTCTAATGGTAATGTAAAGTTTGGGACTTGTCAATGTTTCAGTCTGCGCTCTAATATTTTCTTTAAGGGAGAAAGAAGAGTTCATACATTTCTGCGTTTGCTTTAGCTGGTACAAGTTAGAGCAGTACTGATTTTGCAGGTATGGTCAGAGGATGGGAGGGAAAGTCCTGTCCCTCCTCTGGCACTAGCAGTTGTGTAGCTGGGAGATGAGCAGGTTCGGGTAACTGATCCATGCAAAATCTAATTCAGGCAGGGGAAGCAGGATGGTAGCAGCCCCAACATGTATCAGCTTCACTTCTATACAACTGGACTCATAACATACTTTTCTGGAATTTTTTTCTTTTTTTTTTTGGAACTTAAAAAATAAAAATAAAGCATGAAATTATATAAAAAGCATAAGCAGTATTATTTACAAGCCTTTTATGTGAACCCTTTTTTTAACAAATTCCATTGTGTTTTTCATAGGATATCACTGCTTTAACGGGTGTTCCGGATGAGCACATCAAAACTAGAAAAGTTCACATATTTGTTCCAGCACGTAATGCCATGCAGGCAGGAGTTAACAATACAAAGAAATGGAAGATGGAATTTGATAACAGGGAGCGCTGGGAGAACCCTTTAATGGGCTGGGCATCTACGTGAGTAGTTACTGAATTTGGAAATACTTTTCTTCTATATTTGACTCTTAATAGTCATATAAATTTTAAGTTTGGAATGTGCTTTCTACCTGTAAATCTACTTGTGTTTTAACAGTACTTAGAGTAAGGGGTTGGGTTTGTTAGTTGTATGATTAATGATCTGTTGTGTTTAAAAGTAAATTTTAATTCACAACATCGTCTGGAAGAGTTTGAAAAAAGCGTTATCAAGCAGAAATTTCAACAATTACATTCGTGGTGATGTTACTGTATGGCAGCATAAGGGAAAGATGGTTATTAGTTACCTGAAGCAATAAATCCTTCTCAGCTCTCAGTTACATCTTCTAAATTGGGCTAAACATAAAATAACATACTTGGCCTCTGGATTTATTTTTTTTTTACAAAGTTTTAGAAATATCCTGAAGATCTGAAATGAGGAGCCACAACTAACTTGAAAACAAAACCAAATCTATTTAAAATATTTCTCTGTTTGTTTTCATATTGCTAATATTAGTAGTAAAAACTCTTAAATACATCAGAAAAGCACTAATCTTAGCTAAATATGCTATAAGTTGGAGACATAAGTGTAACTTGGCTGCAGCTAATTTTTAATTATTTTTTCCCTATATGAATACACTACCTACATTTTACAGTGTGATTAGAATTCCTGTGAACTGTGAGAACTATGCCTGCAATTCTCCCGACAATATTGTAATTTTGATTTGAAGCTGTCTTCTTTGAGGCATATTCAGAAAAGTTAATTTTTGTACATAAATAAACAAAAATCAACCACTAGAGATTATTTTTCAAACTTCAAAAAGGAGACTGTGTTACTGAAAATATCTGGCTGCAGTCATACTAGCGCTTAGATCAAAATTCTGTGAAAAAAACCTTAAAAACTTAAATATGAAATCATGTGAGGACACTTTTTTTTTAGATTTATTGACATTCTAAACCCGGTCACAGAATGACTTTTTTGTCATTTTTATTTATTTATAAAATAAATGTATCTAGAAGTATTAGTTCAAAATAATTCTGAAATCAAGTATTGCTGTTGTGTTGGTTTCCCATAACAAATTGAGGAGGCTCACAACCTATAATGTCTTGCACGTATTGGTATTGCTAAGGGTTAGGAAGCCAAACTCAACTATTGTTAGACAAGAAAAAATACTGAATATGAATTAAAGTATTATTTGTATTAAAATAGTCTGGTTTAAAACTTTAAGCCTGTATATAACAATTAAGCACGTCCTGGGATTTTTCACCATTTTGTCTTAAGCATATTTAAATTGCTGTTTCAGGGGATAAGATTTCAATTATTAAATACATGTATGCCTTGGATGATTTGACTACTGCCAGGTAGCTACTGCGTTTAGCAAGTAACGATCAGGTTGTTTCACAGGGCATAAATTAATGAAGCAATAGAACGTTGACCAGCAATACACCTTTCCTTCCTGTCTTGTGTGCCCTCCAAGTGTCTAGCCACGAAAGGCTGGTCTATTTATACCACTGCACACATTATAACACTGTAGCAGGTGCCGGTAACACCTGCTTTAGTTTAGGTTGAATTTAACTTCTCTTCTAATACCTCTTTGCTTTTCAGCTCCCCAGACAAATTATTTTCTGGGTGGGATTTTGCATGATCTCACCCAAAACAATGGCTTTTAAACTTTGTAACAGTTATAACAATTTGTGCTAAATAAACCACCTAGAATAATGATCCATGGTATTAAGGGCTTACCTGTATGTTAAATTGTCCTAGAGTGAGCTTAATATGGGAATTTAAAAAGGAATGGCTGTTTCAAATGAATCCATGTCTGCTTGCATTTTTATTTTGGGGTGGGGAAAGGAAGATTTCCTTTGTAAGCAAGCTCCAGGTAGGCGGGTGCTGTGTTGAGAATTGACACTGCTAGCTTAAGGGTTTTGTAAACTAGTTCGTATCTGTTCATTTTTTAAGGAATTCTTACAAAAACTGTTAGTGGATGTTCTGGTAATTTCACGTTACTGTTCAACACCCAGAATTACCCAAGAAGAGTTTCTTTTCTTCAGATTTAATTTTTGCAAAGAACAGTTCTTAGAACTTTTCCTGTTTACTTTTGAATAATGTAACGGTACTAGTGGATTAGAGCCCTTTTCCTCTGAACTCGATATACTTATTTACCTATAGGTCTTCGGTATATTTCTGTCATTTTACAGTCTTGTTTGCTTTTTTTGTTGCGTTTTTTTTCCTCTGAAAATTACCCAGTAGTAGATCTAAAGAATATGGATCCATGGCAGTTTTTTTAATTGGGAGGTTTCATTGCAGGAAT